CACCGGGCTTAGAGGCAGCGCGCGAAGCCCCAGGAGCGCGGGAAGGCGGGCTCCCGCCTGGCTCAGACCCGAGCAGCGCGGCGCCCGCCGCAGAAGCCAGGGAAGCGCGAGTCTGCCGGGTCTGCACCGCTCGCCGGCCCCGGGAGTCGCAGGCGGGAGCTGCGCGCTGCACCGGTCTGCAGCTCCGCGGCACCGGCGGGGAGAGGCGGGCGCCGCAGTCCCCGTCCCCGCAGCGCACTCTTGCAGCGCTCGGCCTGGCGTCCCAGGGCTCGGCTTGGCCCGCGTTCCCGGGAAGCGGCCACGATGGGGCTGCCCCAAGGTGGAAAGATGCACTGAGCGGGAATCGTTCAAATTGAAGTGATGGAGCGAGAGCAAGCGCCCAAAGCTGGCTCTCCTCACCTAAAAGGTTGTTGCATATCATTATTTCTTGTGGAGGCGTAGGAAGCTATCTGACCCTTTGATGGCGAGCCTGGGCCCAGGGCTTGCAAAGAGGCAAAGTCACTGGACCCGGGGTCTGCTCGTGGGTCCTCCGTCTGCACTTCTATTCTGGGTCCCCCAAGACTGCCGCACCTCGGGCTCCGTGAGCTCCCAGGGGCTTTCCTCTTCCATCCACAAGGACAGAAAAATAGGAAGAGACAGAGGGATGGAAGAGCTCGGAATATGAGGGAAAGAGCGGTTCTCGATCTGCACCAGGGCTCCACTCCTCTACTGGATGGATGTCTCTGCCCCACACCTTGAAAATATGCTCTTCCCTAATTTTATAAGGGGAAAATGTATTTGGAGAGTCCTTATGCCAAGACACTCTTCGTGCACTCTTTGCTGTTTCTAGGCTGCAAAGACTGTGCTTAAGTAAACTCCTGCTCAGCTTTTTGGCAGCAAAGATTGGAAACAGCGCATGTATAAGCATGATGGAAAAACGGTTCATATATATGTGTTGATTTCTCTGAGGAAACCAAGGAGCACACAACACACGCACACACACACACACACACACACGCACGCACACACACACACACACACACACAGTCACAGAAGACAGTTGCAAGGATACTGCTTTTGCCAAATGACCTCTTCATTACAGAGGCTGCGATTTTTCAACTTGACGTTGAGGGTCAGGTTCCTCTCTTACGACCTGGTAATCAGAGAAATGCAGTTCTGATTATTGGATTGTCCTAATATTAGAAGGTGAACTACTTTTATCTAAAGCAGAGGGTGGAACCTTGCCAGAGGAGAATTTGGTAGCTTATAGATGATTTGCAAATCTTAGAGCAAGGTATTCATAGGAAAGGGGGTTGCACTGATGTGTTAGACATTGGGGAAGGTTGTGATGAGAAGTTTTTGCCGGAGGACTGTATAAAGTCCATTTTCAGCTTGTGACTCTCCGTGTGTGTGTGTGTGTGTGTGTGTGTGTGTGTGTCTGTATATGTGTGTCATAATCACTTGCTATGTAACAAGAAGCAGTATCAGTCATCTATATTTTAAGGAAGAAATTTGGTCCCAAAGGTTTTGGAGGTTTTGGTGCATAATTGATGGGCTCTAGGATAGAAACTGAGTGGAGGATAGAGGGACATTGAGGAGAGTCTGTTCGTCTAAGGGTCCCTATACCAGAGAGACAAAGGGGGCACCAGAATGGAGTTAGACCTGCAGGGCAGCCTCCAGGGCTCTGCCTCTTCCAGCCCCTCCCACCTTCTAACAGCAAATCAGCTACCAAGCCCCAAGCCCCACCTATGAGCTCAGGAGGCCATCTGGGACATCTAGATATAAGTCATAACATTAGCCAAAGTAGAGCGATCACCTGTGTATAATGAAGAAAGGAATAAGCAAAGTTTTGCTACTCCAAAATGTGCAAAGTTA